ATTTAATAGAATGGTTGAAAAAAAAAATGGTTGAGTGTCGTCTAGAGCTGGTGTTCCTGGGCTTGAAGCCTGATCTGCTTCATGAACACTGTGGGTAGCCTCACTCTGTCTCAGTTTTTCTCATCTGTAAAATGGGGCTTATAATAGTGCCTACGTTCTAGGACTTGGAGAAGGAGATTTGGTGCTAATAAAAGGAAACCACGCTGTTGATAGCCTGTGGGCTTGTCTACGCCGAGGGTGGGTGGCCAGGTGTGGAGGAGGGGGCCACACTGACCCTCAGCTCCTGTTCCAACCTTCAGCGGCACTGGCGGCAGAGGCTGAGGGCCCAGAAGTGGGCTCAGTGGAGGACCAGAGAAGACAACAGGGCTACTTTGTGCGCCTGGGCTCCCTGTCGACACGGATCCGCCACCTGGCCTATGAGCACTCTCTGGGGAAACTGAGGCAGAACAAACACCGCACCCAGGACACGTTAGCTCAGCTGCAGGACACCCTGGAGCTGGTGAGGATTCTCTGCTGAGGACAGCTCTGTCCTTCCCGCTGCGCGGGTCATTTGGAAGGAGCTACAGCCCGTGCTATTCCTTTCCGCTCACGTCATCAGCTTGTACTGTGGACTCCACCGGCACGGTTGATGGAACCACCCGTTTATGCGTCGGTCCCGACCCCTCCCTGCCTTAGTCGGCAGCCTGAACTCCCTAGAACGGCCACCAGAGGGCGCCCGTGAACACCAAGTCCGGTCCTCCTCTGCCCTGAGCCCTGCAAAGCTCCCATTTTTCTGGGTCCAAAGGCCAGGTCCTCCCTGCAGCCACAGGGCCCTGCACCGGGCTCCATCCACCAGGCTCCATCCCTGCCCCAGCCCTTTGCATGTCCGTGCTTTCCGCCTGGCATGTGTTTTCTTATCACCCCGTTTCCAGAACACCCTATGATCAGCTTTTCATTTAGTTAGATCCCCTCTGGACTTTTTTTTTTTTTTTTTTTTCATGCCAGAGCTTAGCACGGAACCCAGGGCTCTGCAGTGCTTTGCTGCTGAGCTCTGCTCCCAGCATACTGTGTCACAGTAAGCCTTGATCGAGGCAGCGGCCTACCCACACAGCCAGGAGCACACAGCAGGGGCTAAGCGCTCATCCCGGAAGCAGAGCTCAGCGCGTGCTCAGCAAGGCATTGCACACTTTACCCACATGGGGTAATAGGCTGTTGCATAGCTTCTGTGTTATCTAACTCTCACTTCCTATGTGTGGTCAAGGTACATAACAAGATTTACTACCTAACTATTCTTTTTTTTTTTTTTTTGAGATGAGGTCTATGTAGTTCTGGCTGGCCTTGAACTCAAGGCTATCCTCCTGCCTCAGCCTCCCAAGTGCTGGGATTACAGGCGTGCACCTCCACACCCAGTCACTTAACTGGTCTTAAGCAACCAGCTCAGCAGCATCGGGCGCTGCTGTCCACCGTCCTCACTGTCCACCTCCAGGACTTTCCACCTCCCCACGCCCCCATCCCTTCCTGAATTCCACCATCCTCCTTCCTGTCTGTGGGTCTGACCAGGCAAGAGCCCTTCTGGGAGTGAACCCTGCAGTGTGCATACTGTTGTGCGTAACCACAATGTCCTTGAGGTCCCTTCATGCTGTAGCAGGTATCAGGATTTCCTTTTAAAGGAAAAGTAATACATTTTCTTTTGAAGGATGAGTAATATTCCATTGTATTGATGGAAGACATCGAACTTTCTTCTTTCCTTCATTTTTGTGTTTTTTGAGACAGGGTCTCACTATGCAGTTCAGGTTAGCTTTTTTTTTTTTCTTTTTTCAGAACCAGGGATTGAACTCAGGCCCTTGCACTTGCCAGGCAAGTGCTTATTCTACTGAGCCATCTCCCCAGCCCTCAGGCTAGCTTTGAGCTCAGTTTGTAAGCCAGATTCAGGATAGTCCTCCTGCCTCTGCCTCCTGAGTGCTGAGGTTACAGGCATGCACCAAAACTCCCGGCCTTGAATTTTCATTCTTCCTTCTCTTCTGCTTCTTGTACTGAGTACTAAACCTTCATACCAAGCTCCATACCCAGTCCCTTTTATTTTTTATTTTGAAACCGGGTCTCACTAAGTGGCTAAATTGCCCTGGCTGACCTCAAACTTTCAATCTTCCTGCCTCAGCCTCCAAGAGTGCTGGGATGACAGGCATGAGCCACCACCCAGGGCTTTTGTCTTTCTCCTGTTTGCTTTATGCACCCATGTCCTTGCACCTGCTAGGCAAGCGCCCCATCCTTGCCCCACCCCCTATCACTACCGCCAAGATTTTTTTTATTTGTTTGTTTTGTTTTATTTATTTATTTTGGTGGAACCGGGGTTTGAACTCAGGCCCTTGCGCTTGCCAGGGAAGCACTTATTCCACTGAGCCATCTCCCCAGCCCCCTGCATGATTCTTAGATATGGCAGTGCATCCTAGGGGTGTGCCTGTCTCAGGTGGGGTTCTTGCATGGGCCTTGGCCTGGACGCTGAAGGTGGAGCGGCCGTTCCCGTTCCTTGGGGATCAGGACCTAGACGGGGTCGAGCCTGCCCCCAGAGGCGGAGGAAGGCTTCCTGAAGAGCTGGAGGGGACAGAGCAAGGACCACAGCACCGTGGGGACAAGCGTGGGGAAGGCTTGCAGCGAGGCAGGGTGTGGGGAACCCCAGGTCTTGGGACTTGGGCGAGGCCGGGGGAGTACAGGCTGTGTGGCCAGCTGGATCTCTGGCGGTGCATACAAATGACGCTCCCTGAACGTTGAGGGCAGACTTCAGCCTTGATCTCCCTTGGCCCCCCCTCTCTCCTGCCCTAACTCCCACCCCTGTTCCCGTCTGCAGATCCACCGCATTCAAAGTGGAATGAGCCCGACCCCCGCGACTCAGCCCGGGAAGGTGCACGAGCTGTGGGAGGATTGGAACCAGCGTCCCCTGGAGAACGGTCTCCGCCGGCGCGACAGCCAGGTGAGGACGGGGCGGAGCCGGTAGGAGGAGAGGCTAAGGTGAGGGGCGTGGCCAAGAGGCGCGGCGGTCATAGGATGGGGCGTGGTCAGAGGAAGGCAGTGACAGGAAAGGGCGGGGAAGAGGCGGGGCGGGCAGGAGCCAAAACCAGAGAGGAGGGGGAGGTTAGGGGAGGTGGGCGGGACAAGGGAGGCTGAAGGCGGGTCCAGGCAGGGGCCGGGGCTGGGCCCTGGGTAGAGATGGGGTGGGCAGCAAGGGGAGGAGGAGAGAAGTTAGGCAGGAGCCAGGTGGGATGGTGGATGGGTTGCCAGGTGAAGATAAAGGACCGTGAGAAGGCAGCACGGCCGGGTGGGAGTTTAAGTGTGGTGGTGGCTACCGCCAGGCTGCGCAGAGAGGCCCAGCGAGTGGTTCTGACTCCACCCGGGAGCCACCAAGGGCCAGACTCAAGTTTCTCCGACTAACTGCTGAGGTCAGCTGGTTGGTTGTTCGTGGGGAAGCAGGTAGAGAGGCCGATCCACGGGGGGACTAACGCAGCCAGAAAACTGGGTCCAGTGTACATCCATGCGGGAAGCTAAGGCGTATCAACAGCCCTGTTCACTCTGTCTCAGGAAACCAATAATAAAGCAGCGCGCAGCTGTCATCCCAGCCCTCGGGAGGAAGGCTGAGGCAGGAGGATTGTCGCGAGTTTGAGACCAGCCTGGGTTACAAAGTGAGCTCAAGGCCAGCCTGAATTGCATAGTGAGAACCTGTCTCATAAGCACAAAAGTAAACAAACAAAAACCCAGCGCAGTTTGTGTCCACTGGGGAAACGAGGCCAGGCTGGGTTCTGTCGTATGCTGCTGGGGAAAACAGGTGCCCCTGCTGTCCCCCGCAGGCCGAGCTGGAGACACTGGTGCTGTCGCGCAGGTTGACCTTGGAGCTGCAGAGCGCGGTGGAGGCACTGGAGGCGGGCGTACGAGGCCTGCCCCCCGGCGCACAGGAGAAGGTGGCCGAGGTGCGGCGCAGTGTGGACGCCCTGCAGGCCGCCTTCGCCGACGCGCGCCGCTTTGGGGACGTCCCCGCCGCGGCGCTGGCCGAGGGCCGGGGCAGAGTGGCGCGCGCGCACGCAAGCGTGGACGAGCTGCTGGAGCTGGTGCTGCAGGCCGTGCCGCTGCCCTGGCTCGTGGGCCCCTTCGCGCCCGTTCTGGTGGAGCGGCCCGAACCCCCGCCCAACCTGGAGGTCCTGGTGGATGAGGTGGTTGGGGCCCCCGACCCGCGCTGGGCGCACATGGACTGGCCGGCCCAGCAGAGAGCCTGGGAGGCTGCACACAGCGAGGCGGCGGAGCCCCCCAGGGATAGCGGCCCCCAGGAGGCCGAGCCCCCCAGCACCCGGGTCAGACACACGCTGATGCCGGAGCTGGACTTCTGAGACGCCGGGCTCCGTGCGCCCCCAGGCGGCCACGCGTGCGCACGCATGGCGGAGGCCTGGCCTCGCTTTGGGATCGGAGCTGGGGTGAAGCGGAACTTGGAAGCCGGGTCATCTGGGTCCCGGTAGGGCCTCCCGCTGTTCCTTGAGTCGAGAAGGGCTGATCTCAAGCCCCTGCAGTCATTTTTACCTCAGAGCCAGGTTCTTCAAAGCCTGTGGTCCTATCTCCAACCTAAAGGGATGGGCACACTCCTGTCATCCCAGCTCTCTGGGAGCTGAAGCAACAGGATCGCTGTGAGTTAAAGGCCAGCCCTCTACAGTACAAGATCGCCTCTCAAAAGAAAGGAGGCGGTGTTCGAGCCCCACCTGGGCAATTCAGCGGTTTAAGGACATTGTCTTAAAAAAAAAAAAAAAAAGGGCTGGGAATGCACCTCCGTATTGAGGCCTTGCCTGGGTTCAATCTCCAGAACGGGGGGGGGGGGGGGGGGGAGTGGGGGGGCGCACAAGCACACACACACCCCCACCCCGGATATAATCCACATCTTGCTCCATGGCTTCTTTTTGGAGCTTTATATTGTCATTATCATTATTATTATTATTATTATTATTATTGGTGTGTGTGTGTGTTTGCTTCATTTTTGAGACAGGGTCATGCCACGTAACTTAGGCTAGAATGATACCACTATGTAGGCCAGGCCGATCCTGAACTTGCAGTGATCCTCCTGCCTCAGCCTCTTGAGTGCTGGGATTACAGGTGCGCACCACCACACCTGGCTTGTTTGGAGTTCTGAACAGTGAGTCCCCACACCACCCTGGGCCAGATAGCCTCAACTGAGGGTCCCCCAAAGATGCCTGGGTGCCCATTCAGCCAACCAAGCCCACTTGCTATGCTTGTTCTTGAGAATAAACGTGCTGTTACCCGCGGTTCGTATGTGTACTATCTCCCAGCAGGGTCTCAGACCTGGGATGCTGGGAGGTTCCGAGGCATGTGACCACAGAACAGTGGCCACACTCAAGACTAAAAGGGACCGTTTCTGCTTGACCAGCGGGCCTGCGCTGAGCATGGCTCGACCTTGCATCTACTAGTGAGAAGCTGTTCTTGCTTTAGTATAAATGAATTTCTTAGAAATGGCTGAGAGCAGGACAGGAGGGAAGGGCTGAGATCTGGTGTCCTCTCCTGTGTCCACCTCTCCAGATATGTTCCCACTGGTCTGGCTGTGGTCTCTCCAGTTGGCTAGGAGAGGAAACAGAGGCAGGGCAAGGGTCGAGGCCGGTCTCCCGGCCCTCCTGTCCTCTGACCTCATTCTTAGCTGCCTCACAGCCCCCCATGACTGGGCAGGATGTTGGGAAACCTCGATCCAGTGTGGTGAGGTCAGGGTGGCCCCTTGCTTTCCTGGGCACAGGTCCAGAGGGCAGCTTCGGGAGCCCTGGTCACTGCCCGCTGGGCACATGGCCCTCACTGCCCCACTATAGAACCTCCACTTCTCCCTTGTCCCCTCAGAACAACCACTCCCCAGCCTCCTCTTCTAGCCCTATCCAGATACACAGCTCCATGCCACAAACACCAGCCCCAGCCTGCACATCTCCTGGACCCGGGTCACCCACTCTCCAGCTCCACCTTCAATGCCTCCTTCTGCAGGCAGTCCTCCTGGACTTCACCCAGTGGGATTCTCCTGTAATCCTCCATGTCCTCCTGCACAAGGCGGACAGTCCTGCATGGCCAAGCCAGGGAATGGGGCCCAGAAAGGCATGTGAGAGTGGGAGTCAGCCTGGCTGGAGCCCAGGGGAAGGGACAGAGCCCAGGACTGAGTGGGCAAGTGATGTCCCCTCCCCACCACCTTTGCCTCTGGGAAGTGGCTGTGAATGTTAAAGGACATGACCAGGGTATTCATCATGAGTTTTGTTCTTTTTCCCTTTTGCTGTCTTTTTTCCAGCATGCTAGGCTGTTGCCCCACTTGGGAAAGGGAGGGGTGTGTCCATGGTTCCCCTCACCCTCCTTGGAAAGCATTGGCTGGGATGACAGAGGTGGCGGCCCCCCCTCCTATTCCCTGACTGTTTGGCAAACACAGCGATGGCACCAAAGAGACGGCCCAGAGCAGGGGCATCAGGCCAGGGGTTGGACCCCCTCCTCCCAGCGCATAACCCAGCCACCCAGCCCTGCCCTTGGCATGTGGCTGGCATCCTGGTCCTGGGGCGACTGACACCAGCATGACGCTCGCCCACCAATCATGTACTTGGCACAAGGGGCATGACCTGCACGTGACCCTGACTACCCCTTTCTGTGTCTGAGACCTCAGAAGCCGCCAGGCCGGGGTCTCACTCCTAGGGCCCCCCAGCTCTTCATCTGCCATCTTGGTCTGCATTTCTCTCTTCTAAAGAGAGATGCCTGCACTCCTGCAGCCTCCGACTCCGCCCAGGCTGTGCTAAGCTGGTGTTGGTGGAGTCCTACCTGAGACCCAGGTGGGCAGGTCACACCTGAGCATGACTTCATGTTTCAAACTCACAACCCTGTGTAGCAACACATTTCCCCAGCACGAAATGTGTGCCAGGAGGTATTGTTCTAGATGCTGGTGAGCAATACAAGGTTGACACAGGTGAGAGACAGTAGGAGCCACGCAGGTATCTAGGGGAAGGGTGGCCACAGCCAGATGGAGCCTGGGGCATTGTAAGCAAGCAGCAGGGAGGTCTGTGTGGCTGAAGCAGAGGCAGGAAGAGGAAAAAGAAGGTTCAGGGAGGCTGCCCTGTGGGCCCCCATGAGGGATGTGGAGAGGGAAGCTGACAAAGAAGCAGTCCAACCACACCACTGCACTGGGACAGGGATCTGAGCTGTGCCCATCCCAGAGAGGAGGCAGAGGGCCCCGGAGCGAGTCTGGTGAGACTGAGTCACTCTGCCTGTGGCGGGTGGGTCCATGGACCTAGGGCAGAGACCAGAGGAAAGGTGCTGGGCCGGGGCCCACGCAGGCAGGCAGGCAGGCGGGTGGCCATGTGACTGCCAGGCCCCCCCAGCCCGGGCTGCTTGGCTGCCTGCCTCAGCCGGCTGGGCTGCACCGCCCGGACCCTATAAGGCCTGGGAGCACGGGCAGAGCCAGCTGCCAGCTTCAGCGTCTCCCTCTGAGTGAGCCCGGAGAGTCCTTCGAGCAGGGCTCAGCTGCCCTGTGACGCCCAGGCCCGGGTAAGTATTGGGGTGGCCTGGCCAGCCAGGGCCACATGGGTGTGGGGTGGGAAGGGGGACCCTGACTCACACCCCTTCTCTGCCCCTTCCAGATACTCAAACTGCTGCCATGTCTGCTCCAGAGCAAGGGGGCCAGGAGCCCCCCAAGACCAAGGGCAAGGTAAAGGGAAGGGAAGTCCTTGCTGTGGCCCTGAGACTCCCAGACCGAGGAATGGCTACAGTCCTGGGGTCCCCAGGTCCTCCCAGATGGGGTGGAAGCCAACTTTCCTCAGTCCCAGGCCAGGGTGGAGAGGCGGCCATGTAGCCTCCAGAGACTTTCCTGGAGGGTGACCTGGTCTCTAGTCTCAGTTTCCCCATCTGTGTAATGGGGCCAAGAAGTGAAAGCTCTTCTCTTTTGCTCACTGCGGACCAGGCGGGGCTAGCCAGGTGCAGTGGCGCACCCACTTCCAAGGCCACGAAGGAGCAAGGGCTGGGGTGGGGTGGACCCCAGGGCTCCCTGTTGCTGAGACCTGGCTCACACTGCCCCCACCGCCACCTACAGAGCCTGGGCAGCTTCTTTGCTTCCCTGCCTGGCTTCAGCTCTGCGCGGAACCTGATGGCTGGTGCCCACAGTGCCACAAAAGAGGCCAAGCCAACTTCTGACCCCACAGGTGTCCCTGGCTCTGAGGCTCAAGGTAAGTGACAGCATTTGTGGGTGGGACTATGCTGGACACCCCACTCCTGGCACAGAACACTCCCGGGGTGACCTCTGACTGATTGGGGATGCTTTGGACACCTCTGCACCATCTCACTAGATACAAGTCTCCCACACTCATTTAGAACAGGATGGGGAAACTGAGGCACAAATATGCAGAGCAAGTTGCCAGGCAGGCGGAGCCAGGCACTGCGGGCACCAGAACTCAGCCCGTCTCCCTGCCAAGCACCCTCCTATTCCCTCTGCCTGCTACAGCCCCTCTTCTGGGGCACCACAGACCAGCCTGGGAGCTTTGCATAACTGAGCTTACAGTGAACCTGGTTCCCAGAGATGGGCAGCAGCCCCCTGGAGTCACAGAGCTTCCTGCAGTGTGACGGCTGCTCTGGGGAGCCCGGGGGTGGGCAGCCACCGGGACTGGGCTGCATTCTGGGCCTGGTGCCCTGAGCAGCTGACTTCTGCCCCAAATGCCTTGGCCAACAAGCTGGCAGCTGTGGCACGGGTGGGATGGGCCACTCTTACCCGCCCCAGGCTCCGTGGGATCCGATACTTGGGTAGGCGTCTGGAACCCAGGACCCCACGGGGAAACCCCACTGAGCCCTGCTCCAGGGCACTGCAGTCCCAGGGATCTGGGACATCCTGACTGCACAGGTGACTGAATCTGGCTCATGGCTGTGGATGTCACCTCCTGCTGTCCCTGGCAGGATGGCTGGCACATTCCTGACCTTTAGGGCTGTTCCCGGCAATTGCAAAACAGGCATCAGGGCAGCTGTGATCCTCACCCCCTCTAACTGGCCTCTATCCCCGCAGCAGCCACCAACCCAGAAGTGATGGCTAGGGACACGGAGAAGCTGCTGCAGCCTTCAGAAAAGGTAAACTGAGCCTGGTGTGAAAGCCGCGGGTGTCCTCCCACCTGAGTCAAGGAGGTCTCAGTTGGGCAGATATCCCTGCATGTCCTGCACTGGGGGTCCTGGGAAGTTCCTCCCCTCTACGTCTCTGTCTCCACATCTGGGAAATGGGCACCGTGTCACCAGCCTGGTGGCTCTGGGCTCCTTGGGGTCAGGCCTCCCACCTGCCCTGCAAGCACAACAGCAACACGGAGAGGTGGAGCCACAGCTGAAGCCACGCCCCCACCCCCACCCTGGCATCAGCACCTCGAGTGTTCTAAGTGTCAGCTGCCTCCCCTCATTTCCTCACCACCCTCAGAGCAGGGACTGTTTTAAATCTCAGTTTTCTGGCAGGGTGTGGTGGTGCTCACCTGTGACCCCAGCACTGGGGAGGCTGAGGCAGGAGGATCACTGCAGGTTTGAGTCCAGCCTGGGCTGCATAGTAAGACCCTGTCTCAAAAACAAAAACCAAAACCGAAACAAAAAGAAAACCCGTCACTTTCCAGTTCAGCAATCAGGCTCAGAGAGGGGCTGAAGTTTGTCTAAGGTCACACAGCAAGTTTGGGAAAGAGCTATGATTTGAATCTGGGTTGCTCCAGACCTCCGTGGTGCCAGGGCCAGGTGCTGAAAGTAGTGTAAGTTTCTCAAATTTAGTGCTACGGAAATGTGGGCTGAAACCTTTTCTGGTTGGGCAGTGGGCACTGAATGTGCTCAGCAGCATCACTGGCATCTTCCTGCTCCGTGCCACGAACACCCTTGGTCATAAATGACTACGGATGCGTCCCGATGTCCCTGGGTGTATTTGTGGAAGTCACCAGATGTGGCCTTCTAAATTCAATACAGCACATTTGTAGTTACACATGAGGGGCACTAACTGTGAGCTGTCACCTCTCTATTTCATGTGCTAGCCTGCACAAATCTGCCCGTGGAAGACCAAAAGAAGTTTCCTGCCAGGTCTTGGGTCTCAAACCAACCTTTCTCTGGTTACTTTACCGACCCTTGATTATCTTCTTCTTCTTCTTTTTTTTTGAGGAGCCGGGGATTGAATTCAGGTCCTTGCACTTGCCAGGCAAGCGCTTATTCAACTGAGCTATCTCCCCAGCCCCTATCTATCTCCTTTTGCTTATATATTTTTACTGACACTTGGCCCGGGACCCAGATCCTTGTGCACACCGGGCAAGTGCTCACCACTGAGCTCTACTCACAGCCCTTTTTATTTTTTAATTTTTTTTTCTCTGAATGCCTTCAGGGCAGGTTTGGCTGGCTTGAGTTGTGGGGATCGAACCACAGCAACCTGAGCCTGACTGCTTTGTTGAAGCAGCCACTTAAGGAACTGAGCTAAGGGGCAGGGCCCCTTTTTTTTTTTTTTTTTTTTTTTTCAGTACTGGGGATTGAATTCAGTACCTTGCACTTATCAGGCAAGCACTTATTCCACTGAGCTATTTCCACAGCCCTCCCTATTTTTTAAATTTTAAGACAGGGCCTCGCTAAGTCACTGAATTGTCCGGGCTGGGTTTGAACTTCCTCTCCTCCTGCCTCACCTGGCTGATACTGATTTTAATTAGCAACTTCATTTCTCTGTTGCTGGGTGACCAGGTCCAAAATCTGCCAAAGAGAGTAGGCCTGATGAACAGAACACGTAATTTTGGAGCTTGGCCACAGCCCAGCCTCAGTGGTCTCAGAGGCCTGGCTTCCATAGTGGCGTCTCTGGAATCAGGGGCCTGCAAGCAGGTTGGAAAGGAATAATTTTGGCCCAGTTTGGTGAGGGCCTGCAAAGGCCAAGGTGGGTGCTGGGCAGCGGTTGAGGAGCAATAGGCAACTTGGGGTGAATGAGCAGGGCCTTCCCAGGCCGACTAGAAAGTGGGGATGGCAGAAATCGGGGCTACAGGGCCTCTCCATTCTGCTGATGTCCTGTGTCCTTTCTCACCAGATGCCCAGGACCACGGATGCCGTCTCCTCTGGGGTGGCCAGCATGATGGATGCAGCAAAAGGGGTGGTCCAGGGAGGCCTGGACACTACACGATCAGCCCTCCTGGGCACCAAGGACATGGTCGCTGGAGGAGTCACAGGGGTGGTGGGCATGGCCAAAGGGGTCCTGCAAGGGGGTCTGGACACTTCAAAGGCTGTTGTCACTGGCACCAAGGACACAGTAACCACCGGGCTCACAGGGGCAGTGAACACGGCCAAGGGAACCATCCAGGCTGGTGTGGACACCACCAAGACTGTTCTGACCGGCACCAAGGACAGCGTGTCTACTGGGGTTACAGGTGCAGTGAATCTGGCCAAGGGGACAGTACAGACTGGCCTAGATACCACCAAGACCATGCTGACTGGAACGAAGGACACCATCTGTAGTGGGGTGACTGGAGCCGTGAACATAGCCAAAGGTGCTGTCCAAGGGGGCCTAGGCACCACCAAGTCTGTGGTCACGGGCACGAAAGACACAGTTGCCACTGGGCTCACAGGGACAGTGAACATGGCCAAGGGAGCTGTCCAGACTGGTGTGGACAGCACCAAGACCGTGCTGATTGGAACAAAAGACACAGTGTCCGCTGGGCTCACAGGAGCAGCGAACATGGCCAAAGGCACAGTGCAGACCGGCCTGGACACCACCAAGACTGTGCTGACTGGCACCAAGGACACGGTCTGTAGTGGGGTGACTGGAGCCGTGAATGTGGCCAAGGCAGCTGTCCAGGGAGGCCTGGACACGTCGAAAGCTGTTCTCACAGGCACCAAAAACACAGTGTCTGCTGGACTCACAGGGGCAGCGAACGTGGCCAAGGGAGCCGTCCAGACTGGTGTGGACAGCACCAAGACCATGTTGACTGGAACAAAAGACACAGTGTCTGCTGGGCTCACAGGAGCAGCAAATGTGGCCAAAGGCACAGTGCAGACCGGCCTGGACACTACCAAGACTGTGCTGACTGGCACCAAGGACACGGTCTGTAGTGGGGTGACTGGAGCCGTGAACGTGGCCAAGACAGCTGTCCAGGGGGGCCTGGACACGTCGAAAGCTGTTCTCACGGGCACCAAAAATACAGTATCCACTGGGCTTACTGGGGCAGTGAATGTGGCTAAGGGAGCCGTCCAGACTGGTGTGGACAGCACCAAGACCATGTTGACTGGAACAAAAGACACAGTGGCCACTGGACTCACAGGGGCAGTAAACATGGCCAAAGGCACGGTGCAGACCGGCCTGGACACCACCAAGACTGTGCTGACTGGAACGAAGGACACTGTCTGTAGTGGGGTGACCGGAGCTGTGAACGTGGCCAAGACAGCTGTCCAGGGGGGACTGGACACGTCGAAAGCTGTTCTCATGGCCACCAAAAACACAGCATCCGCTGGGTTCACAGGGGCAGCAAATGTGGCCAAGGGAGCCGTCCAGACTGGTGTGGACAGCACCAAGACCATGTTGATTGGAACAAAAGACACGGTGTCCACTGGGCTCACAGGAGCAGCGAACGTGGCCAAAGGCACAGTGCAGACCGGCCTGGACACCACCAAGACCGTATTGACTGGCACCAAGGACACGGTCTGTAGTGGGGTGACTGGAGCTGTGAACGTGGCCAAGACAGCTGTCCAGGGGGGCCTGGACACGTCAAAAGCTGTTCTCACGGGCACCAAAAATACAGTGTCCGCTGGACTCACAGGGGCAGCGAACGTGGCCAAGGGAGCCGTCCAGACTGGTGTGGACAGCACCAAGACCATGTTGACTGGAACAAAAGACACGGTGTCCACTGGGCTCACAGGGGCAGTAAACGTGGCCAAAGGCACAGTGCAGACCGGCCTGGACACCACCAAGACTGTGCTGACTGGAACGAAGGACACGGTCTGTAGTGGGGTGACTGGAGCCGTGAACGTGGCCAAGGCAGCTGTCCAGGGGAGCCTGGACACATCAAAAGCTGTTCTCACAGGAACCAAAAATACAGTGTCCACTGGGCTCACAGGGGCAGCGAACATGGCCAAAGGCACAGTGCAGACCGGGCTGGACACCACCAAGACTGTGCTGACTGGCACCAAGGACACGGTCTGTAGTGGGATGAGTGGAGCTGTGAACGTGGCCAAGGCAGCTGTCCAGGGGGGCCTGGACACGTCAAAAACTATTCTCACGGGCACCAAAAACACAGTGTCCACCGGGCTCACAGGGACCATGAACATGGCCCAGGGAGTCGTCCAGACTGGTGTGGACAGCACCAAGATGGTGCTCACCAGAACAAAAGACGCAGTGTCCACCGGCCTCACAGGGGCAGTGAATGTGGCCAAAGGCACAGTGCAGACCGGCCTGGACACCTCCAAGACAGCGCTGACCAGCACCAAGGACATGGTCTGTAGTGGGGTTTCTGGAGCCATGAATGTGGCCAAAGATGCCATCCAGGGGAGTCTGGACACTACCACCTCTGTCATCACGGGCACCAGGGATGTGGTTTCCACTGGGTTCATAGGGGCCATGAATATGGCCAAAGGGGCTGTCCAGGGTAGCCTAGACACCACCAAAACCATGCTGGCTGGCACCAAAGATGCAGCCTCTGCTGGGCTTGCTGGTGTGGGGACCATGGCCACAGGCACTGGCCGCACTAATCCTAGCACTGTGCAGAAGTGGCTTCCTGCTCCCCAAGACACCATCTGGGGTGAGCCTATCAGCTGCAAAGCCTCAGACAAAGGTGGGGAACACACTGCCCTGAGCTCCCCAGAAGCCCTGTCCACGGGGCCCTCTAGCTTCTCAGACCCGCTCGGTGTAGACTTGCAGTTTGCTGGGGAAGCTGCAGCTGCCACCAGAAGCCTAGTGTCTGACAGGGCCATGGTCACTCATGGGGCTGCCTCAGGTGGCCAGCAAAGAGCCACCAGCTTCACAATGCTCCGGGACGAGCTGGAGGGGCTGGAAATCTTCCAGCCCATGAGCACTGAGGAACAAGGTGAGGACAGGGAAGAGCACCCTGCTTGTGGCGGGTCCCTGGGGTGGTCTTGGCTCCAGGTGGATGCTGGTCTTTTGAGCCCTGAGGGCAGACACCCTGGCTGAGTCGGTTGCCTCTTTTCCCAGCCCAGCTGGCAGCCTCCGAGCCAGGGCCCAAGGTGCTTTCTGTCGACCACGAGAGCTACTTTGTCCGTCTCGGTGACCTGTCCCCCAGCTTGCGCCAGCGTGCTTTTGAACACGCCCTAAGCCACGTGCAGCATCGCCAGTTCCAAGCCAGGGATGCTGTGGCCCAGCTCCAGGACTCTTTCAGGATGGTGAGCACGCCCCCCACCTCAGGAACACATGGGTATCCATAGCTATGTATGGTGCCTGAGTGCCCTGTTGGGGAACCGGCTATGTGCAGGGGAGGCAGGGCAGATACAGTGTGGCAATAGTCAGGCGGCATCCAAGAGAGGCAGGGACAGGATGGAACACCCCCAAGAACAAGCTGGGAGCACGGCCAGCACAGAGATGCAGTGCTGCCTGGGAGAAGTGGAGGTGTGGCTGGGGCAGGGGGAACCCGGGGCTGGATATAGAGGAGGGTGACAGCAGTATCTAGGACCCAGGCGCCCCCACCCTCCTGTGACCCAGCATCACCCTCAGGCACTGTGGACACAGGTCAGCTCATTCTCTTGGCGTAGGGCACCCTGGCCTCCTCCCCACGCCATCCCGAGGCCCTCTCGCCTCCCAGTGAGCGCTCAGCCAGCGCCCTTCAGGAAATGCACGAGCACACTGTGGCCCGTGACCTGCGGCATACAGCTGCTCAGAAGCATCTGTCTGCCTTCGCCTCCCCACAGCACAGTAGACTGGGCAAGAACTGAGCACTGGCGCCCTCAATAGGAGAAACTGAGGCTATGAGCAGCTGGAGCAAGAGCTTTGCTCAAGGGTGCACCTAGGAAGTGCTGGAATGGAGACCTAATCAAACATTATTCATTCAATAATGAATAGTGAATAGTGGGGGAAACCGAGAACAAAATCCGAAGTCCCCACCTGCAGGGGCTGCTTGAGGGAGGTGAGCAGGTGACTGCACAAAGGCCCTGGGGCAGCTTCGAGCCTGGTTGTATGGCTGGAGCAGACGGAGTGAGGGGTACGGGAGGGGGAGGGGAAGCAGGAGGGGACAGGGTAACCTTGCGGGGCTGCAGGACTAGGGCTTTGGCCCAGGGAGGTGGGAGCAACCATGGCTGCAGGCAGAGGGCTTGCCCGGCCTGGTGGGAGTATTTAAGAGGACCAGATTGCTGGGATGTGTGGGGAGCCTTCTATACAGATCAGAGTGGTAAAGGTCCCAGGTGGAGCCCACAGCCCAAGCTGGTGAGATGCTCCACCCAGGTTTGCAGACAGGCTCCCCATAGGTGAGAGAAAGCCATTGGTGCTCACCCCCCACGTGAAGCCCGAGGGCAGAACGGGGACAAGAGGGAGGCAGCGCTGGACTGGCCTTGGGGAAGGTCAGGACCCATGGCCCCAACCCAACACGAAGTCCCCGCCCAGAGGCCCTCATTTCCTGTCTGTTCTTACCAGATTGAGAAATCCACACAGGCTCTGGGACGGCCACTGTGTCTGGACCAGGGCCTGAATGCCCCAGTGGAGGGCCCTGGGAGCTCCGAGGTAGGTGGGGCACAGGTGAGCCCGGGCCCCAAGGGGCGGGAAGCCGGTGGGTACCTGAGGTGCCCGTTCCCCACCCTCACCCCCCTCCTAATCCTGCAGGTGCTGGCCAGGGTCTGCACACTCATCCGGCAGCTGCACACAGCCTACAGTGGCCTGGCCTCGGGCCTGCAGGGGCTGCCCGAGCACCAGCAGCAGGTGGGCCGTGCACGGCACAGCCTCTGCGATCTCTACAGCATCGTGTCTTCTGCCGGCCCCGGTGAGGAGCTGCCAGCTGAGCGCCTGGAGCAGAGCCGGGAAGGTGTGGGCCAGGCATGGCGTGGGCTGGACCAGCTGCTGGATGGCCTGCAGCACAGCCCCCCACTGGGCTGGCTCGTGGGGCCCTTTGCCCTGGCCCCTGGCATGCAGCAGGTGTAGGCGGCACAGCGCAGGTGCAGGCATCTCCCCAGCTGCCCAGCCAGGGAGCCTCTTCAGAACCTTCTCCTCTAAACCCAGATCCAGTTCCTAAAGGTCTTGGCCCAGTGGGTCAGAGCTGGCAAGACGCCGAGGGCCCAAGGGGACAGTTTCTGGGTCCTACCAGCATGCAGGCTTGCCTATGCCTCCCGTCCTTTCTCCAGACGCCCCTGACCAGCACTGTGACTCCAGTTGAAGGTGGCAACTGAGCCCCCAATCAGAGAGCCAGACATGTAGAGGGTCTAAAAGGACCTGAGCCCCCACCAGGAGACTTTCACTTCTAGGGAACTCTTCTACTACCAGTGCGTGACACCCCATGGCCATCTTTCTCAGACAGGTCTGGGTGAGGGCCTGGAGTGGAAGCTAGAGGCCCTGTCCTCCCAGTCTTGGCCACATGGACCCTCGGGATGCTAAAGGGCAGGCTGTGGATTGCGCAGCTGGGGCTGGAGAAGGCCAGAGAAAGCAGTGGTGACAGTGCCGCCTCATGGACGGGGCCCAGCTCAGCCCGCTTTACTGGAACCCCCACCTCCGGCCCCAGGAGATGAGGGACTGGCTTGTCCCTAAGAGCCTTATGAATGCCATGTTCTGGGAGGGCTGGGCTCCTCTCAGCAGATGACAGTGCCATGACAGGGCCTGCCAGGCCTCCCAAGCCCTTCCCTCCTCAGCCTGCCACAGAATCACCAGGGGCCACAACACTAGACACAGACACTCGCAGAAACCAGGCCCAGGACCTCGAGCTCTGTCCAGCAAAACCACGCAGGGCCCGAGGCTCAGGAAACCTGTCCCCTACACACCCATCTCCTGCTGGGCAAGGAGACCTGACCATCCCCTGCAGTGGCAAGGCACTCCTGACGGAGAAAGGACTCTGCTAGAAACTGCAAGCACACTCCACTGGGATCCCACCCAGTGCCAGGAGGTGGGAGGATGGAGGAGCCCAGAGAGGGTGGGCCCAGTGCCCAAGACCACCCAGCAAGCTGGTAAGAGCAGGGAGGAGCTTGGTCCCTCGAAATGGACCACAGTAGCTCTCTGGTTCCAAGTGCCCTGAGCTGGCACCAGGGATTTGGTCTCCTGGGGCCCATGGCCATCTTTGGCCTCATGGGGCAGCGGCATGGCCAAGTGAGCCAAGATCAGCCTCTGCCCACTTCCGACCACAGCCAGCCCTGCCCTCCTTGGCCATCTCTGGCCCCGCCTAGCCTCCCCTGCCCAGCCCACAGCAACAAAAGCTGAACCTGAGGCACCCCGGCAAGGCTCCACCCTGGTCCGTCATGCTCTGCCACACCACTCCAGGTGTCCCACAGAGTGACCCAGGGCCCCACACAGGCCCTCTGACAGCTGCAAACTGCTCTCTGCCTCTGGCCTCAACTGGCTCACCAACACTAGGAAACCACGCCAATAAAAGTGATCTTTTTTCATTAAAAAACCCTTTATAGTCATTTCATGTCTGTCAGAAATCACAGAAATTAGGCAGAAAAAAACCCAAGGGACAAATACAAACAGCACAGCGTTTCCCCAAAAGTTCCCTGCCCTGCGGGGGCTGGGAAGAGCCAGGGCCTGCGGATGACAGCACGCCTCGCCCAGCCGGCCAGCTCAGCTGTCCTCATCCAGGGACTCCGAGTCCAGCCGCGCCCTCTCGTGCTGCTGCCTCTCGCTTCCAGGCCTGTCCAGGTCAGGGCCCTCCTGCAGGCTGCTGGGGGGCACGGATGGGATGAGTATGGGGCAGGGTGGGCATGGAGCCTGGACACAGCCTTCCGCTCTCTCTCCCACCCCTAGAGATGGAAAATGCTCCACACACAGAGCTCCCATGTCCCCAGCCCCATGCGCAGAGGTCGTCAGGCCTGTGGCAAAGCAGCTGCTGTTTAAATGAGCCTCGGGCTGGGGAGATAGCTCAGCAGCGCAGCACCTGCCTGGCAAGTGTAAGGTCCTGAGCTTGATTCCCAGTACAAAAAATTAAAAAACATAAATCAACCCTGAACCTGGCCAATGGGGCACAGCCTGTGGCCCTTGGCACTGGCTAGAGGGGTCAGAAGGCCGATGCCTGTTATACCCCCCCCAAGGGTCCTGGACCCACCTGCCTGGGAGGCCCAGCCCAGGCATCTCAAAGGCCTGGCCCTTTGAACAAAGGTGGGGATGGGGAGGGGGCCCTTCCCAGGCTGTGCAGCGGGGAAGGAGCAGCACAGACAGCCCCCGCGGAGGCCACCCCAAGGGAGACGCTCACTCGGCATGCAGGTCTTCCGAGGAGCTTCGCCGCAGGCCCTCCTCCGAGTCCTGCCCCTCCTCCTGCTCCTTGTCCTCCGCGCTCTCCTCCTTCTGGGATGTGGCCTCACCATTCACAGGGGCAGAGAGATCTAGGGCAACAAAAAGGCTTCATGGTCACCACCCGGCCCTGGTTGGGAACCCATTCCATTCGAGTAAGCTGGCTAAGGGCCCTCAACTGTCTTCAGGACTCCTGGGCTGTGCTGGGCTTGCCCTGACCGCCACCAGGGGACGCACAGGGCAGTGCTAGATTCCGAACCAGCCTTCCCCATGTGGCCTGGCATGCCTAGCCGCTGTGCCCATGGCTTCCATGAGACATAGGTGCACATGTGTGGTTCACAGGTGGCACCATCAGTACCTGAGGCCACTGTAGCCTGACTGCCTGGCACACAGCAGAACAGCACCACCATGTGCTGGCTTCCCTGGGTGGCCGGGTGTGAGGAAACCCCCCAGGGGATCACACTGCCCTGCCAGTGTGTGGCGGAGAGCAGCGCTGTGGTCCCAAACCCTCAGGACAGTCTGAAAGCACCCACCACCCCTTTGGCTGACAGCACAGAGACCCGACTGCCACCCACCCACACCTGGGCTGGGCTCGTCCTCCGCCTTCTCCTTGGTAGCCTCTTCTCTTGCCAGCTTCTCCTCAGACTTCTCCACCTCGGTCTTCTCCTTCTCTGTTCCAGCTTTGTTTGCTTTCTGGATTGCCTCAATCTTGGGCCCCAAGACGCGTGACTTGAGCCGGGTATAGACTTCTGCCGCCTTCTCCATCACGTCCTTATTGGCTTTGTAGCGGCGAATCTGGTGGGAACAGGTGGGCTCACTGCAAGCAGCTGGCCTCCCCGTGGGGACCCTCCCTCCAGTCTGCCACCACACAACAGGCCCCCGCCACCTGCCCCCTCCCGTCCCCACTATACCTTCTTCAACGTGGCCACCACATCTGTGTTCTTCTGTAGGATCTGAGAAGTCACCTGCAGGGTCCCCAGCTCCTCCAGGGCAGTCAGACATCTCTTCACATCCTACAAAGGGCAGCAAGAAAGGACTGGCAGAATGGGTGAGGGGACCTGGAGGCCCCGGCAGGGCAGTGGACACCCATCCCTGCTGCCTCAGGGACCCTCCTGGCATGAAGGACCCAGATCCTCAGTGGGGTCCCTGGGACTGCCAGGCTCACTCCAGGCCCTCACCTAAAGAACAAGCATCTGGGGCTGGTGAGATGGCTCAGTGGTCTAAAGCACCTACTTAGAACAAGCTAAACTCAAGCAAAGCACAGAGACCTCGGTTCAATCCCCCAGCACCACATGCCGGCCCGCCCGCCCCCTGGTGGGCTGAGCTGGCCACATAATAAATAAATAAATAAATAAATAAATATTAAAAAAAAAAAAAGAACAAGCACCTGTTCTGTGGACCCCCAGATGTGCCCCAGCCTCCCGCGACCTCTAGGGAGTCCTGGGAGTGAGGTGATAGCAGGACCACATAGCCCAGGAGGCTGCAGCCCCAAGACTCCAGGAGCTTCTTACCGGGTTGTCGACCTTCAGAGCAAACTTGATCTCACTGTGCAGCTTCTGCAACTTCTCTTCCACAGAAGGTTCTGGACCAGGAGACACCAAAAGGCTTAAGCAGGGACTGCAGGCCCAGGCCTCAGGTGGCTACAGGCTCCCTTGGAGGCGGCTCCACCCCATCCCACAGACTCCAGGGGGCCCGGCAGAGACTCTGGGGACCAGGCCAGGTACCTGTGACGACCAGCCAGCCTGGCTTCCTCCTGAAGCACCCACCTTTCTTCTTCTCCACCTTCCTGTCCAGCGGGGGCCCTTCTGACCGCTTCCGGGTCCGTTCTACCTTCACCGGCCTGTGGGGAAGCGCTCCCTCAGACAGGCCCAGCCAGTCTCTGGCCCTGCAGCCTCCCGAGCCCAGCCTTCCTGCAGAAGCCCTCAGGAGGCTGTGACCCAGGTTCGTGAGCCACGAACAGAGACACAAGCCCTCCCTTGGTTCTGTGAACTAACTACAGGAGATCCTGGAACGCTTGCCAGGTGTATGGTGCAGCCTGACATCCTAGCACGTTTGGAGGCTGAAGTACGAGGAGCCCCCCGAGGTAACTTAATGACTTAGTGAGACTTTGTCTGAAAATAAATAAAAAAGGCTGGGGATGTGGTCAGTCTATGTTCAATTCCTACTATGGAAAAAAAAAGAAATCCAAAATTCTTTTTCACACAAATGATAAGAGCGCTAGTTCCCTAAAACCTGGCAAACTAGTTACTAAAAAGCACTGGCATCCCACATTCTTTAGTGACACAAGGACCGCAGAGTGCCAGGCCCCCAGGCATCTCTCCACCACAGAATCCCTTCTAGAAGTAGGCAGGTTATCCCCATGAGCCCTGCAGACACTGGGGCTGGAGGATCACTCTGCAGAAACCCCCGGACTGCAAGAGCTGAGCCAGCCAGGGGCTCCCCCAGGCCCGACAGTCACCAATTTCTGCAGACACTGCACAGTGCCCCCAGCGTGACTGCTCTTTCCCCACAAACCCTTGGCCTAGAAAGGCCACAATGCTGGTCCCCAGCCCAATGGACTCCAAGCACAGAAAACCTCCAGCAGCTGAGGCCCCAGATGAGCCCAGAGCCATGGCTCTCAGGGGTGCAGGTCGCCCCAGGGCGCTGAGCAGCAGAGGTGCCCAGGTGGGGGGCAGGCACTTGCTGACCTGGCCCGGGGCTTCTCCTCAGGCCGCCCTCTCTTCTCCTTCTGGTTGAGCTTCCTAGTGGGCTCCGTGCTCTGTGCTTGCAACTTCTTGGCGGATTTCTTTCCCTAAGGCAGCAAAGTGGGGGTTTGAGCAGTGGCAGGCTAGCCTGAGCCAGCCCCACATGGAGGGGAAGCTTGACTTGGGGCTGCAGTCTCTCGTGGGCAGGACAGCAAGGGGGAAGGGAGGAGGAACCAGCAGCCCTCCAAGCCCTGGGGGATCTCAGGGGACAAAGCCACCAGGGTCCCATTCAGGGAGGGCCTCAGCCACCGCACTCTTGCTCAGCAGCTCTCAGACAGGAACTTATTCTGCCAGGACCCCCACCCCGTTGAGAAAAGGGGGTGAGGAACAGTGGTGCTCTTGCTATCCTTGCAAAGAAGGCCGCCCTGGACAAGACAGCGTCTACAGCATCAGACTCTGGCCAGCCAGACTGCCGAGGTCCAGAGGATGGGGAGGCTGATGGGCCCGCGGCTTGTGAGCTTAACACAAAGCTGGCCTTACAGTCACGACCACTCCTCAGAAGCCTGGCTATGCCCATGCTCACCCATAAGCTGTACCCCAGAACATCGAAGGTGCCCTCAGCCCTCCAGAGCCCCTGCCTCCCTGGGGCCAAAGCCTAGGTCCTTCCTGCAGCCCACAGGGCCCTGCATGGCCACCCGCCCCCTCCCCGCCTCCCCTGTTCCAGCCACGTGGGCTCCTCCCTGGTCCTGTGCTATGCTGTGCTGCCCTGCCCCAGGGCCTTTGCACAGGCTGCTGTCCTGTCTGGATTGCTTTCCCAGATTCCCCTCAGTTAGACATTAGGGTGTCAGATGAAGTCTTCAGGTCCTTTGCTATTTAGAACAGAAGGGTAGAAGGTGTGACTCAGTGAGGGCCTGCCCAATATACGGAAGGTCCCGGGGATCCTGGAGAACACCCTAGCCCTGAAATACACCTAGCTGGCGTGGGCTGGGGCTCACTGCTACCTTACACCCAGCACCCACAATGGTGCCCTGAACCTAGCACCAAAGCCACATGGGTGAGGGAGGCACGGGGACAGGCTGGAGCACGGTGGCCTGCCAGGCACGCACCTCTCTTTCCAGGTCCCCTTCGGGCTCTGAGTCAGAGGAGGAGGGTGGCCCTCGGCCCCGGCCCTTGCGGCCCCGCTTCCTGACGGGCTCATCGTCCTCCCTGAGCTCGTCCCCACTGCTGCCGCCGCTGGCCCTCTCAGCCTCCCCGAGCTCAGCCCGCTCCCGCCGCCGCTCCTTCTCCTCCTTCTCCTGCTCCCGCAGCCGCCGCAGCTCCTCTTCCTGCTCCCGCCGCCTCCGGGCCTCCAGCTCCCGCCGCCGCTCCTCATCCCGCCGCTTCCACTCACTGATGCGGTCCACCTCATCACTGTCACTGGCAGACAGACAGCCATGAGGGGAACCTCCTGTTCCGTGGGATCCTGCTCCGGGGACCCAGGAAAGCCAAGCCCTTCCAGCACCACGGCCTGGGCTGGGCAGAGGCCTCAGCTGGAGCTCACCTGGTGGCCCGACACCCACCTGTCGCTGCTGGAGGTGGAAGGTGGCCGCTCAAGCTTTGGTTTCCGTCCTCGGGGCTTTGGGGGAGGCTTCTCAGCTGCAGGAAAGGAAGGTGCTGAACTTGTTACCTGCCAGCTCCCCAGAGCCAGCACAGGCACCTGAGGGGCGCCACATGCAGGCCCAGGCCCTACCTGGCTTTCTGCCCCGAGGAGGTTTCTTGATAGACACATCGGAGTCAGAGGAGGAGGAAGAGGAGGAGGAAGACGCCGACCTGGCCACAGGCACCGGCTCCTCCTTGGGCCCATCTGAATCCGCTTTGGAGTCTGAGTCGGAAGCTGACGGCACCTTCTGGGGAGAGGCGGGGCCGGCGGAGAGGGAGGAGCTGAGGTGAGGGAGACTGAGCAGGGTGCCCTCGGCTAGCAGTTCAGGCAGCTGCTGAGCGCCCTCTCAGGGCAGGATGATCCTCTTCCCCCAGCACAGTGGGGAGCAGAGCACACCCCAGGGCCGTGCAGTGGGGGAGCACCCACCCACCTGCCCACAGCACACATGGAGGTAACACGTGCCCCGCGGGAGGGGCTACAACATGCACGCGTGGTATGTAGCATGGCGGTGCCCACATCGGCATGCAGACACACGGCACTGTGGACCGCCAGCACACCCCAGGCCCAAGGGAGCCCCCAGAGCCACGGCAGCCCCTGGCATGTGGCTGTGCCCACCAGGACGCTGCAGTCAGGCCCTGCTGCTCCCTAGGTGTCAGCCTCAGGCCTGGGCATGACCCACCCGCCAGGGCCCAGCTGGCGGCAGAGCAGCAGCGCTGAGCACAGGCCGCGGGCTCAAGACACTCTACCTTCTTCTTCCGTCCACCCAGGGGGGCCCGCCGTGGCGCCCGGACCACAGCTTTCTTTTCAGGGGTGAAGTCCTGCATGAGAAGGAAAGGAGCAGCAGGCGTGCTGGCACTGCCACCAGCGAGCCTCACCTCCGCCCCCATGCCATCCCTGCCCAGCCCGCTCACTTGGTCACTGGTCTTCTCAGACTCGGACGAACTCTCCGAGTTCTCCTCTTCAGAGGGCGACACGCTGGCTTGCTCCAGGTCGCTGGAAGCTTTCCGAGCTCGCTTGGAGACTGACATCTGCAAAGGAAGGCCCAGAGGCCTCAGTGACCGACCGGGAAATGCGCAGTGCCTGTGCAGGGTGGCGGTGCCAGGGCTGGGGGTCAGTGCGCCAGGGGGACAGAGGCCAGAACTTCTTGAGGTGGATGGTGGCAATGACTGCACAGCCATGGGACTGTGCTTATGCTTCTTTATTTTTATTTATTTTTTTCCGGAACCGGGGAAAAACTCAGGACCTTGCACTTGCCAGAGAAGCGCTTATTCTACTGAGCCATCTTCCCGGCCCCTAGTGCTTATGCTTCTGAGATGAGAATAAGAAATTACTTTTTTGTTTTGTTTTTGGTACTGGGAATCGAACTCATGACCTCACGCTTGCCAGGCAGTCGATGTGCTACTAAGCTATATCTCCAGCCCAAAAAATGATTAAAATGGTAGTATGATATAATATTTCTTTAATAGCAGTAGGTACTGGGGCCAGGGAGATGGCTCAGTAGAATAAGCGCTTGCCTGGCAAGTGCAAGGGCCTGAGTTCAATCCCCGGTTCCACCAAAAAAAAAAGCACTAGGTACTGAACCTAGCACTTTCACACTGAACTACATCTCTAACCCCTATTAATTTGGAGACAGAATCTCAATAAATTACCCAGGCTGCGCTCCACCTTGCAATCCTCCTGCCTCAGCCTCCCACAGTGCTGGGATGACAGATGTACACCACTATAGCTGGCTTACCCCACACTCATAGTAAGATACAGAGTAGAATTCATTCATATCACTGGCTACTTCTCAAACACTAAAGAGTTTCATTGTTTTCTGTTTTGTTTTTGTCTTTTTGAGACAAGGTCTCACTATGTAGTTCAGACGGGCTCTAAGCTCACTTTGTAGCCCAGGCTGGTCTCAAACTTACAACAATCCTCCTGCTTCAGCCTCCCAAGTGCTGGGTTATAGGTGTGTGCCACCATGCCCAGTTAAGACTATGGACTGTCTTCATCTTTAAACTATGGAATGCAGAGGTGCTGGGAGCCATCACTGGTGACCCTTACCTTAGTCCTCATGTCATCCCCGGCCCAAAATGCTTATACTACAAGGTATACAGAATACATAAAATACACCAGGATCTTACTGATCCTTACTGATTCAGAAAGCCCTCAATTGGCAGGGACGTTTTTTCCTAGCTTTACATTTCTAACTTATTTTCAACAAATGTGGCTCCTCACATTAGAATCAAAACCAAACTTTACCTTCAACAATAACAGGTTGGAGTGCTCACCTTAGGAGCACATATGCTAAAATAACAGGCTGGGGTGCAGCTCACCAGTGGAGCTGTTGTCAGCACACACAAGGTCCTGGGTTCACTTCCCAGGCCCAAAAAATAAACACAAAGAGAACTGCCTCCATTATTCTTACAGGTATGCTAGAATTCTAGAACATGTTAGAACCTGACCCCTTCACTGAGCCCCGACACTTAGAAGCCATGAAGCCAGGTTTGGTGGTGGTGTAATCTCAGCACTTGGGAAGCTGAGGCAGGAGGATCACCTACCAGCCTGAACTATACAGAACAGAGAATACACTCAAGAATGAAAAACAACCCTTCCCCCGAGCCTCGCGCAGGCATGTTCACAGCCACAGGACTCCTAGTTACCAAAAGGTGTGGAAACAACCTAAGTGGCCATCGACCTACGTGGACAAACACGAGGGAAGCCACAGACACACTGGAATATCACTCTGCTGAGAAAAGCAGGCTTGACACCTGCCACAGTGCAGAGGGACCCTGGGGACAGCATGCTCAGTGAGATATCAGATAAAAGAGGACACACGGCAAGGGGCTCAATGGACAGGAAACGTCCAGCACAGGAGGCAGATTTGTGGGTGCCAGGCCTGGGAAAGGACAGAGAGGTATGACTGCTCACAGGGGCAAGGGTTCCCAACAAGAGAACAAAAATCTTCCGGAACTAGACAAAGTCGCTAGTTGTACAATATTTTTTTTTCTTTTTTCAGTTTCAAAGCTGATTAATAGGACAGTTTCGATAATCAATACATTGTACATTGTTATCTTCTTAGTGGTTATCCACAGTAGAAGAAGCAGATGGGGGGCTGGGGAGATGGCTCAGTAGAGAAAGTGCTTGCCTGAGTTCAATCCCTGGTTCCGGAGGAAAAAAAAAAAAAAAAAAA